CCCCACCACCACCACCACCACCAGTTGTTATATTTTTAAAACGTGACAGTAGCATCATCTGGCAGAGTTTGTCTGGAGATAATTAACCTGATGAAGGTGACACAAACTTTCACTGCAGAGGTGGGGGGTTTGTCTTTCATAAGAAGGAAAAATATTTTTTCTGCTGTATTAGAGATGTAATGTGCAGAAGGAAGCAGCCTTGGTTTTTATTCACAAAGGACAATTTGATGGGATATTATTTTTGTCTGTTTTTATGAAGCTTTGGCAAAATGTCTCATATAGATTTGAATGAAATACTCAAGAGTAATCACTGAATGCAGATCTACAGCTGGTTTAACTTCCTATTTTAAGACGGTTGCTCTAAACACTGTTGACCAGCACAATAAAGACAAGTCAGTTTTATTGCTGTAGAGCTAAATTCACTGTGGTATTATGAGTCATCACATCAAACATGATCTTACTATATTGTTGTTTATTACCCCATTTATGAGATCGGACTAAAACTGCTTTAACCTCATATAATTTTGAGCCTAAACTATTTATWGTTTTAAACTCTGGCCTGAAAGGTGGAGACATGCTTGTCTTCAAGGTGTGTTTTGTAAAAGTCAAAGTATATTTTGTTAAGTCTCCTTTGGGAGAAACTGAAAGTCCTGATTTTACCTGTCAACTGTTTAGCTGTTTTTTGCACATATTTCACCTCAGCTGCTGATCAAGAAAGCAATGTTCTGTGTATAAGGCCTTAGATGTTTAATAAATGTCATTCCAAATGTCAACTTTTACAATAACGATGAATAACTTTATTCTGCAGCTGAGGCTAAATTAATACTTTTTCACCAGAGGAGCTCAAAACTCACTCAGATCAGTTTTTTTTTCTCCTAACCTTGTTTTCTGTCCTGTGGCTCCCAGAGAACACTCAATCTCAGCACTTGACTTTGTTTACACTATTTGGATGTGGGAGTTATTATACATTAACGGAGATTTTCATTAATCGTGCCAATTCAAACCGACTGCCTGTCATCCAGCAACCATTGACTAAATTTATTTGCTCTGATCCGACGTCGTTGCTCTGACTCTGTCCTCMGTTTGAGAGGAAGCTGCAGATTTCCCAGAGTCTGCACTGAGCTGCTGGGACACGAACAGGTGGATCCATGAGCAATGTGCTGACGGTGTGAAGATCGTGCTCGATTCGAAAAAACAAATGTTTTTATTTCAAGAAACATAAAAAGTAATTGACTCTCAAACAGAAGCCTGATGGTGAGGATTAGSCATTAAACTGGAATCATTTCAGCGTTTGAAATGAAGCATTAACCAAACATTGGGTTTAAACTTAACCCAGCAGGTAAATCATTACTGTAGATTTACTGCACAATGAGATTTTTGCCCTAAAGCACTGATCCTCAGGATTCAAGGTCCCTTYTTTTAATTTTCACCTTGAGCAATCAAAACAAACTCATCTGTCTCAGTGCTTTTCTATTTTTCATATTTGCTTTGATTGTTTCTGGTTTAAACAAAAAAGGCTGTGAGCTGTGTGTGAAAACTGCCTCGTCTCTCTGAGATTAAACAGTTATATGTGGATTTAACCAGAAGTAGAGGAGCTTTGTTGACTTTCGGCGCAGACTGAGTCACACCCTGTCATTCTTTCAGACCAGTCTTATGTGGACTGATTGACCCTCTGATAGCRTTCATATTCAGGGCTGAGCTGCTCCTCTGCAGCTGATGAAGTGTTTGCCTCACTGATCGATGGTCAGCCTACATCAACCAGACAAATCCCACTTTCTGTTAAAATGCTGACAGCTGAATGACAGCTGAAGTTTGTCAAAGAAACTGAAATGAAGTCACTGAAGCTAAACAAAACATTAAACACTTATTTAACTTCTAGGTGAGTACTATGACCTACATGCTCACACTTGTCTTGTGAGCTGGTTAGGTTAGGGTTTTACACTTAGTTTTAATGCTTCTCTTGGTGTTGTGTAGTATTTTCAAATTGGTTTTAGCTCTTTGTAATTTTTCGCTTTGTTTGAAATCACTTTATAAAGTTATTACTTATATAAGTTCCCTTTTTCATCCCTATCAATGGGAAAATTACATTTTAGCTAAAAACTAAGTGGAGCARGCAAACAGCTAAAAGCATTGAAAACTTAAAGGTGTAAAAAGTATTAAAAGCAATCGACAAACAGTTTGAAACTATCAATATACTAGCTTAAAGGGCCTCACTCTAAGTTTTAGATCACTTCTGTCAACTTAAAGTTTTGTTTTATGACTACATAATGCTGGTTATATAATTGTAATTGTTGGCATCACAGTCCAAGGCTTCCAGTTGATTTCTTCTAATTCCATATTCAATGTAGACCTCAAGGTCGGACAAAMTTTTSACARGTTGTCTAAAATGTTGACATGTGATCTGCTGTCTTTGCCCAGAGCTATCAAAGCTAGCGAGTAAAAGTCACGGCTGCCTCTTGAGGAGTGAGCCAGGCTCCCCACGAACACCACCTAACAACCCCACCCCAACCTTTCTATGCCCGCCCCCAACCGCCTAATCAGGTGGGGTCCATATGACCCCACTAAGACAGCGCATAGTCTGCAGAATCAGAACAGATCTTAATGCATTCTACAGTAAAATATTTGTAAAGTTAAATACAGTATTTCTAAATGTATACATGTTACAAAATGCTAAAGTCACTGCCCTCATTCTCTGAATTGGCTAAAAGTTTTAACATGGATAAAATGGCACAAAGTATACCAAAGTAGTTGGCAGAAAAAAAATAAAATAAAATAAAAAAAGTACAGAAAAAAAATGAAACAGGAAAACAGTGGGTTGGATGCCTTTTCTTTGGTTGCTGATGGACGGCTGATTGTGAAACCTGCTTTTCAGGCAGGACTGTCCTCTCAGAACAGTTACATAAGTCCAAAAATGTTTTTGTTTCTAGAACAAACTCTTCAGAAATGTTTTGATTAGAAACTGAAACCAGAAATTTGTTCCTAAAGAGAATTTCTCCACACCTTATGACTTTTTTTATTTTTATTTTTTGGTTCCACCTGATTGTGATTCTCCACCTGTGGGCACACACCCTCCACAGTGACGGCACATGCACTGGATATTCTTGCTGGGCTTGACGAGGAAGGACCTGAAGGGGAGGGAACCTTGAGGACGGCATGGCAACACTCACATTATAAAGTCGAAGGCACACCCAGCCTGCAGCCTCAGTTCAGCTCTCCTCTTCCTCGCAGCAGCACCATGCTGAACCTCATCAAGTTTCCACGAGTCTTCACCATCAATCAGGTGCCCAAAGTAAGTGAACCTTCATCACATCTTTAAATATTTTAAATCTTACATGTGTTTAACTTTCAGACATCAGGCTGAATATTAGTCCAACTTTCAATCATGTGTTTTTGTTTCACAGAGTTTGAATCAACTTTTCTGTAAATTCATTTTAGTTTTAGAGCCACATTTGTTTGTTTTAAACATCAAATCTAACATGATCATCAATGCGTATGAATCTAAAACTCTTAATTTGTATTAATTAATTTGACAACTTGCATTTATTGTTTTACTTCCAAACGTGAAGAACCTGGTTTGTGTGGTTTGTTATAAATGAAGACTAAACTTTTGGGGTTTTTCTTCTTTTGAGGTTTTCCACGAGGATGGCATCATTTCTGGGTACCGGCACCCCCGGAGCTCCGCCACAGACTGCATCCTCAGCCTCTTCCAGAGGACCAATGAGACTCTCAACATCTGGACTCACTTTCTGCCCTCCTGGTAAGCTGATAGTCGTACCCGAGTTAGCTCTCTGCAGTGTGTTCAATAAATTTGCAACAACTGAGACACTTGGAGAGGATTGTTAATCCTGTTTTGAAGACGACGTGAGCATTAAGCAGTTAACTATTTCGTGGGTTTTTAATAATTCACATCTTTAGTGACATTTCTTTTTATGTCGACTACATTAACAGGACCTCAAACACACAAAATGCAAACAGTGTAGGCATTGTTTCACAAGGTCACATTTCTCAATATCACTGTGGTTGTGCATAACCTGGGTGTTGTGTTTTACAAGCAGAAACACCCAGACAGCAAGTTCACCTCAATGAGAAGGGGAATGTTGCTCAGCCTGTAAAACTTGAGATAAAACCATCTAGAACAATCTTGCATGACATAGTGTCTGAAAACACGAGAGTCACGGTTTTATCATTTATCTGTTTCTTATTGTGGATGGGCTCTAAGAAGTTTAAAAGTTACTACTTAATTTGAGTTTTATAGGCTCCTAATATGAGCTGGTGATGTTTGACTGTTAACCTTTTGGATTCAGTCAGACCCACACGCTAGCAATGTGGGTCCCACAGACCTGCAGGTCATGGTGTTTCACCTGCTCTGTTGAAGGGAATCGCCCTGAGGTATCCAATTCACAACCTATTCAGGTTCTACTGTGTTTGCTTGGAAGGAAAACAAAACTTTCACTGAGCTTAAATGAAAGTATCTGGCTTCTCAAACACTCTGTCCTGCTGTGGAACTGATTCAGTACGACGTGACAAATTACMTATCTTTTGTGCTTTTGAAAGAATTATAAGAGCAGAAATTTGGTATTTTAAAATTTTTAACACTAATGAAATTTATTTTATCTATATTTTAAGTAAAACTTTTAACCTTTTTTATGTCTCCCTTGTAAATTTATTCATCTTTGTCAAGAGTGAGCTCTGTCTGAATCAAAACTATTTAACTGAGTATTAAGAGTTTTTCTTGACACACTGCTCATTATAAACAACAGTTTTTAATAAAGTAAAATGAGTGGATTAGTTTGAATTAAATTGCTAGTATTTAGATCTAAATTTGACTTGATTAGATGAAAATGTGGCCTGCCCTCTGCAGGTTGGGAGTGAGGTGCTGCCTGACTGAAAGAATGAGATCTACGGTGGAGAAGGTCAAAATGAGTTTTCTCTGCAGGGTGCTGGCCTCTGCCTTTGTGATAAATCTAAATCTCTCTTCTTTGGTGTCCTGGTTAAGACGATGTACAAAAAGACATTTCATGACTGTTTTGTTGCACATAATAGTAAAAACGTGTACGGTAATCAAAATTGTAATGTAGTGGATTTTTACCTGGACTTCCTAACATTTTCTGTAGGGACCCTGACATGACTTTATTGTAAATTTAAATACTGTATCTTAGTTTTTCTTCAAGCTTCAGCTGACATGTTTGTCAGAACGATAAGTCAATCTTTCATTCAGTCTTTTAATAGAATTTTTCAAAACCATATACAGTTTCATAGTTACTGGAACTTAATTATCATCTAATTTGAATTCTGAGTATTTGACATCAGGGCACATCCTTTCAGCTGAAAGGATGCAGTTATGTTGACAGTATGCATGTGTGTGTTTACACGAGTGTATCTGAGGATTTAAAGTCACTACAGAGGTTACCTGTCCCTGTGAGCCACTTGTGTTTCCTCTTCACTCACATCTTTGTTGTTTTGACTGCGCAGGCCATGGAGAAGTTGTGTTTGTATGTTTAGAATTTGCTGAAGGCACATGGGTGTTTGTGTCAAGGGGCCCTTTGCAGACCTAAAGGCTGGGTACTAATGAGCAGCTCTGTGCTACAGGTTTTCACGTGTATTGTCACAATTAGTTAACTGCTCAGTGACAAGGAAACACTGGCTGACATGCTTAATGCAAACTACAGCCTCCTGATAAGATTACATTGTTTGTCTAGAGCTCTCAGCTGTTGTGTAACAGACAGTGGCTGAAAAATACAGTATTTTTTCTCTCTTAATCTGCTCATTATAACCACATTGACTGGATTACTCATCATTTAGACTTTACAACTCAACAAATGTAGTGTTTGAATCTTAATCTCTTTTTGTGTTGTATCTTTTTATAAATGAATTACTTTTTTATGCTTGAAACAAGTTAAATGTTGAAAACGGATCATGTTTTATCATGAGGTGACTTCTTAACCGTTTTGTAACCGACCTGCTGTCATCTGTTTAATCCTTAAGCAAACACAAATGAACGAGTGACGTATTAAAGGATGTAACTTTTTCTTCCTGCAGCTAGTTAGGAAGTGTCTGTTCACACTGTCCTCACTCCCATATTTAGTGTACAATGTGCAAAAAATATCAAATGCTGAATCTTGATATACGCTCCTATATTCTCACATTCGGTGGAACTTCCAGAAGGTGAATAATAATCATTGTTCTTTAATATGAATAAGGGTTCAGTCCAAGTTTAAGCCTTGTTATAAAAAGCGGATAAGTGTTAAATATTTTCCTCCTGTGTTCTTGAAGTGTCAGAACACAATGTGTTCAGTAACTGTTTGGTCCTACACAACATGGTTAATGCCTCACATATCTGGTGTTGAACTAAAGTCAGAACTTTGACTTTGCCAATAATAAAATAAATTTATTTTTATTTAATGCCTTGAGTTTAAAGGTATGAAACATTGTGTGTGGTTCTCTACTTTTTTATGAGACAGCTGACAAACTCTAAAGAGTGTAATAAAAGGGGTACAGTTAAAAAAATTGACATCAAGTATTAGTTGACTGAGCACCTAATATTTTTCTTGTAGGGATGATAACCTGTTTTTAAATGTAGCACATAGTTTACTGAAGTTTCAACCATTAAACCAAAAATTTGTTCTGTCACCCTTCATAAAACAAATTATAAAATTAAACTATGTACTTTTTTAAGGTGTTAATTTCCTTTTACAATATATAGTATGTTAACCTGTGCAGTTAGATATGTGTTGTCTTTTTTGTTGATCAGATGAACTTGATTGTGTTGCTGCTACCTGGCTGAACTGCCTGTTTCCTGACAGGTACTTCCTGTGGAAACTGCTAACAGTGGTGCTAATGCAGGCAGTGTGGCAGGACTCCTTCACCTGGCCTCTGGTGGTCTTCCTCCTGTCCTGCTGTGTTTATCCTCTGGCATCGAGCTGCGCTCACACCTTCAGCACCATGTCGCTGAGGGCGCGACACATCTGCTTCTTTTTTGATTATGGTGCTCTCAGTTTCTACAGCCTGGGTAAGGCTGCCAGTCTGCTCATTAGATTAGAATCATCCTGCCAAAAATCCTTTTTGAAGTTAATTTGAATAAAATCTTTTTATTGACAGGTTGTGTTGCTCTGGTTTGGAGTATGAAAATGACTGATTTGTACTTTCTTTTCCTGATTTAAAGCATTTTTGTTTCTCTGRCTGTAGGCTCAGCTATTGTTTATTCAGCCTACATTTTTCCTGACAAGTGGGTGAACGGCTTGTTTCACCATTGGTACATCCCCATCGCTGTGGTCAACGCGTTCATCTCCACCATCATGGCCTGCTACTCCAGGTGTGGTGAGCAAATATTCCCACTGTTTTTACTGTTCTGCAACATAATGTGCACACAGGGTTGGCGTTCAAGCTTTCAAAACTGTTAACAAGGAGGCTTCAGTGGGCTTAAATCTTAAACCATCAGTCCCAACTTTATAAATTCTCCAGTTTTGTACCAAAAAGATGCTGACATGATGTTTCAAGGCCAGCTAGACTGAATTAAGTAGAACTATTTGCTTTTAAATCAATAATTCAGCCGGTGTTCTTGCTGCGTTAGTACCATCAGTTGAACGTAAAGCCAGTGTCTCATTGAGTTATAAGTAGCTGATGGTAAGTCTGCATGAGGGAGTCTCCATTCATTATGACCCCTACACGTAAGCGGGAGTTGTATTTTTTTCGTACTGTTTTTATTTTTTTTTCTCCGGAGATTTTTGGTCAACCGTAACACAAAAACGGCTGCATCGATCAACATGAAATTTGGCAGGACTGTAGAAGAGTCTGACC